CCCCTCCCGCCTACGCCAGCCGCTGGCCCGGCAATACAGTGGTTTCGCCACCGCCTGCGGGTGCATTCCTCCCCCACGCCCCGGGCACCATGGAAACCGCCGGGTTAACCCGCACCCGGGCACTGCCCCTCAAATTCATTTGTCCCCTCCCGGGGGACTCCGCAAGAAAAGACCCTCTGTCCTTCCGAGGTGATCCTCTAAATAGTCTCCTACTTGCCGGTCCGCATGCCCTGAGCGCCCACACGGATGCCAAGCGCCCCCAAACTGCTCTGTGGTATCCAAGAGGGATTCCCGACTTTTTGCACTTGGCTGGGCTCCCCAACCCTTGCTGGACTTTCGGTATAAAAAGACATTTGTAGATTTCCCGGGCTGGCTGGGGGGCCGGGAGTAAAGGCGAGCTGCGGAAAACTCGCTTCCCTCCTTGCTTTCCCTGCGAACCTGGTCTTATATTATCGGGGAACTCAGATCTGAACCTGTTCGTTAGGACTCTTCTTTCCTGATGGATCCCCGGGCGACCTCCAGGCGAGGAACTGAGGGTGGAGGGAAGAGGCGAGTTCGGAGACGCTGAAGACCCTGTGGCGGTTTTGTGGTGAAATGCCCAGCACAGTGTTGGCTCTGGGCTTAGGCTGTAAATGGTCTCCGCACCCACGTAGCCCTAGGCTGCCACCTGCTGGTCCACAGCCCATTCCAGAAGGTAAGCCCCCAAGTCAGGGCCTCCAGAAGGTCAGGCCTGCACTGATTGATCAGCCCTGGGGAGGGATAAGAGCCCATATCTTCCCTGGGTTCAAACACTGGCTAAGCTGCTCTTCGTGTGTTATGTAAATTGAGATACACCACCTGTCTGTGCCTCAGTTTCTTGGAAAATCTGATGATGAAATAATAGTACACACCTCACAATGTTGTTTTGAGGTTTGAATGAGTTAAGACTTGAAAGCACTTGGAAAATTCCTGGCAGACAGTAAGCATTTCAGGAGTGTCAGATATCCTAACAATTAAAAATTGAACATTTATATTGTGTTTACTTTATTACCTCATTTAAGCATCACAAGAATTCTGTGGTGTAAGAGTCACTGTTGTCTGCATTTTATAGATCAGAAAACTGACCCTCATAGAAGTGCAGTTACTTCTGAAAGTCTCCGCTGACCTAAAGAGCCATAATTCTCACTCTCATAATCATTCAAGCTACAGCCTAGCTACTCAGGCGCAGTCTGGGGACAGCAGTGTGGGCATCTCCCGGGAGCTTGTTACAAAGGCAGAAGCCCAGGCTCACCCTGGACCTACTGAATTCGATGCTGCATTTTAAAAGACCTCTAGGTGATTTGTTTGAACATTAAAGAGCCACTGGGTGTGTGTGCTTTTTTCGTTTTCTTTTTAAATCTTCCCACCAAAAATGAAGAATTTAAAGCTCTGGGGCTGTGATTCTCAACTTGGGTTGCACATTAAAATCACATGGGGAACCTCACATTCCCAATGCCTCTGCCACATGCCAGATCAGGATATCTGAGGGTGGACCCCAGCAGCTGCGTGTTTAAAGCTGCCCAGGTGATCTTAATTTGCAGCCAAGATTGAGCACCCCTGTGGTGTTAGAATCACTGGCTCCCAGGAGAGGGAACATTGCTTGGAGGCACCCATTTTTTGGTAGAAATTATGGGGCCTCAGATTATAATGAAATGTTTGAAGAGGGAACTCATACCCATCTAAAACTGTCTACATTAATTTCACATCTCCTGTTCTCTAATTCCAACAGTGTTTCCCTTTTTCTCCAGGGAACATAGAACCTCCATTCTCTTGGAAAGCCTTCTGAGACCTCTCACTGTTTCTTTCCCTCGGTTATCATGGTCCTAAAACTCTGCACATACATTCTTAACTTCATTTTACAGATCTGGAAACTGAGGTCCAGAGTCAGAGTGCGTTATCAGAGTCCCGCAGCTAATTAGCGTCAGAACAAGCAACAGTGAGACAGGTTTCCTGTGTTCCCTTCCACGCATCTCTCCCATGTGCTCCTCGGGGGCAATGCTTCAGTTTGGTGACAATTCCCAAGGGGTCTAACCTGAGATTCAAGTGAGTGATATTTGGGGTTGCCTTTGGTGTGGAGCGAGTTTGATCTGTTGTGAGCTCTGGATTCAGTCTACTCAGGATTTGAAGGTCTGTTCTGCCATTATGAGCTTTGGGATCTTGGACAAGTTACTTTAGCTCTCTGGCCTTCAGTTTCTGAATCTGTAAATTGAGGATAAAAACGACTTGCCTCATAGGGTTGTTGTGAGAATTAATCAATATAATGTGTGCCAATTGTTTCGGTAATGATATTCTGGCAGCCACCTACCTGGGTGGTGCTGTCTCTTGGCTGATTCCGACCAGGGGGAGGACAGGTATATAAATGTCAGGTAGATTTTACATTGAGAGAAATATTCTGTATTCATCCATTGAGAAAACATTTATTGAGCAGCTTACTGTATGTTACATCTATTTTTCAGTATGTGTATCTATCGGTATTGATAGGCGCACCTGCAGGGAGAAGGAGAAGCACATTTTAGGGATTGCTTCCTAAAAAGAGGCCCTCATTCCTGGTTCTATTTCAACCTACTCCCCAGGGAGCTGGCCTTGAACTCAAGCATTCCTGGCTCTCTGCAGAAAGGTAGCAAAGTCTGCTCCCTAGAGGCCAACTACTTCTGGATTCAAGTCAAACTGTGGCACCGTTTTTGACAGCTTACCAGCACCTCCACAGGAGCTGTAGATGTGGGAACATGGAGCATGGGGAGGGCCTGGGAAGGCTAGATGGCTAATGAATCAGGTTGAGACACTGGATGAGGCCCTGTTAAAAAATACTGACACTTGGAATTTGTAAAAATGTTGCCCTGGGCTTCCCTGGTGGCGCAGTGGTTGAGAGTCCGCCTGCCGATGCAGGGGACATGGGTTCGTGCCCCGGTCAGGGAGGATCCCACATGCCGCGGAGCGGCTGGGCCCGTGAGCCATGGCCGCTGAGCCTGCGTGTCTGGAGCCTGTGCTCCGCAATGGGAGAGGCCACAGCAGTGAGAGGCCCGCGTACCACAAAAAAAAAAAAAAAAAAAAAAAAATGCTGCCCCTACACATCTTGTATGTGTAATTTACATGTGTAATACTGCACACTCACCCACACCCTGTCTGCCTCACCTCCCGCACTTCCCGTATATTCCAGCTCTAAGCTCGTGTGCACGTCTCTGTACAGCCTGGAACCCTGAGTGAGGGAAGCTCCACGACACATGCCTGTCTCAATACCTATCCACAGTTAAGCTGAATTCCACATCACCATGGAATTTCAGGAAAACTGGGACAAAGAAGAGATCCAATGAGTTTTCAGAGATATAAGAACAGGTTTCATAAAACATTTTCAAGAAAACATGTACAGAATGTGATCATCAAGCCAGGAAGCTGGAGGTCAGTCGAACAATGCCTTCTGAGGGAGAATCATTTCCTGCCTAGAATCCTACACCCAAACTACCAAAAAAAATTATTGGAAAAAAATAAAACATTTTCACACATGAATAGTTTTTTTAAAAGGTAGTGGTGGACTTCCCTGGTGGTGCAGTAGTTAAGAATCCGCCTCCCAATGCAGGGGACATGGGTTTGAGCCCTGGTCCGGGAAGATCCCACATGCCGCGGAGCAACCAAGCCCATGCTCCACGACTACTGAGTCTGCGTTCTAGAGCCTATGAGCCACAACTACTGAGCCCGTGTGCCACAACTACTGAAGCCCATGCACCTAGAGCCCATGCTCTGCAAGAAGAGGAGCCACTGCAATGAGAAGCCTGTGTGCAGCAACGAAGACCCAATGCAGCCAAAAATAAATAAATTTATATAAAAAAAAAAGGTAGTGGCATATCCTCTCTCAGGAAGCTGCTAAAGGATGTGCTCTACCAAAACAAGGGAGGAAACCTAGAGAGTGTAAGATGTAAGATCCAGGAAACTGGGACATGAGGGCGGGTGATGGGAATCACCAAGATTGCGGTAAAGGAGCATCCCAGGTGGACAGCTATGAGCCAGGCACAGAAGCAGCCTATTCAGATTGAAGCTGATCAAAGACTACAGGAAAGATTTATCAAGAAGATGACACTGAGTGGATTGTGTTTGAAAATATTGAGAGGGGTTTACAGAGCTGGGAGAGAATTAGGGTTGGACTAGTGATAAGTACCACAAATATAACTAAATAAATAGGGAGGGGGAGGCAGTTTTAAACTCTAGTGAAATATAAAAAGCTATGGAGGAAAGGGGAACAAAGTCATGGTTACTTTAAGTGACTCAGTTGTGAACAGCATGAACACAACCATAATAATGTAAAGACTGAAAATTGATATAATCAAATATGACATAACTATATTGGGAGGATGGGGGAATGGGAAGTGGGCATATGTACGTGGTGGAGATGAGGGTGGGGTGAGCAGAGCTAATCCTCATCTGCCATACTGGAAAGTCAATGGATAATGCCTAACATGGACAAAATCAGACAGCATCAATATACCCATGTTACTCAGAGCTATGGAGGTAAATACCAAAACATCATCTACTAATGGCTGAAAGTAGTTGCCTCAGAGAACCAGGAAAGCAGGGTAAGCAATGATCTTTTTGTTATATGACTATTTGATTTTTTAAACTATGTATAACTTTCTTTAAAAAAAAAAACTCTAAAATTTAAAGATGGAATCACATCGAATGGAGATTGAGCTGCCTCACTGAGGCCCACAGGTGATGTCCAGGGGTGAGGTCAATTCCATCCTGGACTTTATAATGTTGGTGCTGAAATGAACACCCAAGACTCCAACTCTGGAGCCTCAGGGATACCTTTTCGGTCGAGCTGTGTCCTCCAACGTTGTGCTGGGGTGTCACCTTAGAAAA